TTTCCTCATTATGACGGAGGAGTTTACCAGCTTGGTACTTATAACTGATGACGACGTAGCTGTGACGTGGCTTGGAATATTGTTAAGCTATTGTCTCTCGCTCAAGAATTACTTGTAAGAGACGGTTACGAAGGAACTCGATCCTTTAACTTCGTTGAAAGAAAAAGAAACATAGAGATATTTTTTTTATGTAATATATAATATCTAATAAAAAAATAGTATAAATAAGATCGAAAAATGAAAGACATCGCGTAAGACGTTCTCTGCAAACTCTTAAAAATCATTCTACTTATACCGTTATTCTAAAACATTTGATAACATCGGTGCGGTATCGCAGCTGTCAAAATTTCACGCGCTGCGTCTGTGCTGTTGGTCGAGCATAAGTGAGGTAAAAGTCCGATTGAACCGAATCGCGAGTCGAAAGTGGGGAAGGAATTGCTTTTCTGCGAATTGCAAACCGTCGGTGTTTATTCGCGATTATCCTCATGCTGCGTAATATATATTTAATTCATATAAAATACAAATAATAAATAAATATTTTCCTGTATATCTAAAATATTTATAGTCTTTCGCACAATAGTGTTTCAATATTTTTCAGTATGACACTTATTAATTCTTTACAACATTTATCATTTTTAAAAGTATCGTTTAAATACTATCCGTTTGCGGCGAAAACGAGAGAGCGGAACGCGTTTTGTCAAAGCTAACAATTCTCGCGGGCGGGCGACTCATTCGAGGGGATCGCGTGTCCGCGTGACGCGCTTTTATTTCACGTTGTTTGTCTCTCATGGTAGGATATACTGTTTTCGTGGCAGCGGTGCAAATTACACGAGCGTGGCTCGACTAATGCGAGGTGGAGTTAAACATCAAGTAATCGGCGTTTAAAGTCGGCACGTCGCCGTGCCACCTGTCCCTTCCTTCATCGCGTGTGACGTAGCAGTGCGCATCGGAGTTCTACCTTACGTAGAGTTTAATCAACGGACCTCGTGATACTAGAAAATGTGCAGGGGCATCGCCGAGCGCGTGTATGGAGGGCTTTCCCCGCTTCCCTTCTCGATCCCCCTCTCCTTCGTTATCCTCGCATTATCATCTCACTTTAGTACTGCCCGCCGTTGACCACTGTAACGTTTTATGCATGCAGCTGTTTCGACGTTCGATCCCGCAGTCCCTCCTAAACGAACGATTCTAATAAGTCTGTCTTGCATATATGCATGCTGTGTAAATTTTTATTGTTACAATAACGAAAATAGAACGGTTGTGTGTGCGGAGAATAAATAATTTCACTTGAAGACGAGAATAACGCAAAAAAATATATTTTTAAGTTTGAAACTTACCAAAATTAGATTTTTAAATACAAAACATGTTTATTAAAAGTGTGATTCTCATTTATTGAATATTTATATTTTCCTACAATGTTTCATATCATATATATATATATATATATATATATATATATATATATATATATATTAAAAAATAAAAATTGTAAATGAACAGATGCGATTGCACAAGCATGATAGAGTTAAACTTTATGTAAATGATCAATGGCTTATCAGAATCTAGTAAAAATTGTTTTTAATATCTAATGCTGATTTACTCGAGTACTCGGACGTAAGAAATTGTTTATACACATTTTATATTTTTCTAATTGTTTCAGATAATTTTGCGTTTCTGATTACACTCCAGAGCATTCTGCGTTGTATAACGTTGTAAATAAATTTTGTTCCGTAACGCAATATACATTTATCTTGGCATGTGTGCCTTTTTATTCTAAAAAAATTTATATTTTTTTTAAAAGACTTATTTCAGAATTTTTTGTGCAAGTTTTCAGATTTGATTAATGAAAATTATTTTGTTTATGAATATTTTTATATGTTTATCGTTGCACATATTATTTGCTTAATTAACTGCCTGTATAATTGGCTTATTTTTTAATAACTATATATATAATGTATGAGTGAGATATATTTCAATATAATTTCGTTGAATTGCACTCGATGTAGATAAAAATTCACTAGGAATTTCCAACGAAATATATCCTTTCGACACTATTTTGGGATATGATCCTATATATGCGCGTATTCTAATAACTTTTTTTCCGATCGAGACGGTTGACCCAATTCTTAACCTCCTCTGACCTCTTATAACCGATAGAAGAGAAAGAGGTACCATTTGATTCAAATAAAGATACTCTGAATCTAACAGAACTGTTTTAGTCGAACTGTAATAAAATCAAATCTTGAAAAGTCAATCAATAGTTTTGTTAATCTCTTTCCCTAATTTTCTTTTTAAAAGTTCTGTTTACAAATCTAATTAATCATTGTGTACATAATAAGAAAATAAAATTTAATTTCGAAAAAAAAATAGAATTTATAAAATATAGGACTATTGCACAATAAAATAAAATAGACCTAATTGTGAAATTATAAAAAAATAACATTTTAGTAATTGTTCTAATAATATTTAATATATATTTAACATTAAATATCTCGATAAAATTAAATCCTAAATTGCAATTCATAGGCAATTTTAAATCTTATGACTTTAACATTATTGATGATTCGACATATATCTCGAGTTAGATAAGATTCCCAATTGATTATAAAATCAATCGTTAAAATTAAGGTCAGGGTTTCTGGAAAATTTTATATGTATATGGAAAATCATACATAGATACGAGAGTGTAATTGTTATACATGTTCATTGTACAATGTCAATCATAAGGATCTTGTGAAATTAATTCGCAAGAAAAGCGTCATGCTTCCGCTTCTTGGTTGATAAACTCGGCATTTTAACTTTCTATTGAGCATGTTCAAAAGTAACTAAATTAAAATTTAAATATATACTCTCAATCTCTCTTCATCTAATGAATCTGATTATAATAAATTTGCCACATTTTCAGATATACTCTCACATTCCCTCGTCTTAATTAGAATAATGCTAATAATAAAGATCGATCGATGACCCCCCCATCTAGCAATTTAAATATCCTACTTAGTCTTACCTAAAAACAGTTTTTTAAAAAGATTAGATGAAATCAACTATTCGTTTGTATATATAAAAAAAGAAAATTATCCGATATTTTTTCAACTTGTAATTAATCGTTGAACGATATTTTATTAATTTTAAATCAAATAGATTCTGCTTTTGTGCAAACTATATTAATAATATTTCTCGCAATAATATGCACGATATATTACTATATAAAAGTAAGAAAAGCCAAAATAATAAATTTATCTCTATACAAACTTTTTTTGGAAATATCTATATAAATGTGATGAAATGAAATGTAATTGGGAGCGGTCGAAATCGTGAGAAAGGATACGATAAAATTTTTCACGCAAAAATTCCCAGCGAAGGAGCCGGTAATCGAGAGAAAGCGCGTTCGAGAGAGACACCCCTTATATCTCGAGAGCTTAGGTTCCGTGCTCACGACCGCGTCGCGCCGTCGCGTTCGCCGCATTCGTGCCTCGTGCCGCCGCGGTCGCCGCCGCTTACGCGTCCGCCCAAAAGCCAGCGCGCCTCTCCGATCCGCGATCGCCATCATGAAAACATTCGCCCGTCGTTATCGTTGTTTCTCCTCCGTCCTTGCGGGCACCGCGGATTGAAGCAATATCGAGCGTTGCGAGAACCGGGAAGTCCGTGCGAGTGCACGCAGCGCGTAGCTCCGAAAGCTCCTCTTTATCCTTAGCGGGCCGCGGGACCGCTCGGTGAGAAAACGCGAGGTGAAGGCTGCTCTATTCCGTCGGTGATTTCGCGTGCCGCGCAAAGTGCGCGGCGATAGAGATTATAAAACGAGAGCGAGCCAGCGCGACGCGGGAGAAAGAGACGGGCGATTCTCTCTTTCTCTTGACGGTTCTATTGTGCGCGGGGTGTATTCGCGAGTCCGCGATAAGGATACGGCTGCCGTTACTTAAATGCCTCGCACAAATTCCTACTCCATGTTGTGCATCGGTTGCGACACGGCTGCGTGTTGGAAAGTGAGTAGTAATATCACGCTGCGCGATCACGCCTCTCTCGTCGGGCTATCGCGCGGCGGAAAAAAAATCAGATCGCCAAGATGACGTAGTAAAAATTCCTAGGAATTATTTCCTCTCCTCCTCTTGCCTCTCGCTCTCTTTCTCTCTCTCTCTCTGTCTCTCTTTTTCTCTTCTTTGCCGAATTCTTTTTTCTCTCGGTCTTTCTTTCTCTCATTTGGATTCGAAAGAGCATCGTTTTCCTCGTCTCCTATTGTTAGTGTCATTTAGTTCAAGTTTCGGTCATTATCGAGTGCGTCTTTGGCCTGTTCACTTACAAGAGGACATGTCCCATTGAGAAGATATTTGTGGTCTGACCTTGCGTGGCGCAGGAAGTACGATAAATTTATGATACCTTCATTTTTCATGCTGTTTTACAGCGTATTTACTGGTATTTTCGAAAAATCATCCTCTATTCTCACTCGAAATGCTCGTCAGGGTTACATTATCACTCAAAGATTGTGTATTATCTAAATTTTTTTTTATATTTTCTCGTTCGTAATTTTTGTGTGATTTCTACATACAGTGAGATAACTGTGTACTTGCTTGTACTTCTTTGTCATCAATTGGATAATGCAAAATATTCCATATAAATTAATATCTAGCCCTATAAACCTTACTTATATAATTTGCAATACTGTTCTTTGTGATCTCGCATTGAATTGCACTTTGTTGCTTTTATCTTACAAATATCCTTTTATATTCCTTTTTCTCAAAATGATGCATATTATCATTTGTATATTTATAAATATATATATATAAAGAATAACGATATTTCAAATACAAGATACAAGTGTATGATAATCTGATGTCACATTTACATATGTTTTATAAATTTTGATAATAAAGACTTATATATCGAAACTTTGTAATTGTATAAAATAATTTTCATAACAATTATAATATATTATACTTTATTTTCATAATATATTATACTTTATTATACTTTATTTTCCAATATTAATTATATATGACTTGTAACAGGTGAGTACATGGTGACACGCGGTTGTAGAGGAGCAATCGGGAAGAGAGTTGCAGCGAAGGACATCTAGTTATCCTGCACCAAGCTGACTGTGACTTTCCACTGTTTCTCGAGGCAGCGCAATCGCAACTAGGATATAAACGGGATCTTCTTGATTGAACAAAGAGTGATACTGAAAGACAAGAGTTATGGAACGAGAGTCTAATCCTATGCAAGCCCTGTGTCGCAGTGGATGTGGATTTTATGGCTCGCCGGCTACCGATGGCCTTTGTTCTCTTTGCTATAAGGAAAATTTGAAAAAGAAGCAACAACCTCCAGTGTCAGCTGCCACTGTACCAACCTCACAGACTGTCTCTAGCAACGCTGGTACGTTGCAAGGCAATTTTGGTAGTCCTGCAGCCACAGGAACTACGGCCCAACCTACCATTCCTACTATACCTCAGTCAACGTCAGATCTGCCCAGTCCCAAAGAAGTAAGTATTCCCATGTTTCTTCTTATAGTTGTTCCACACAAGCGTAACATCTTTGTTCTTTCGATTAATTTGCAGAAGGTAGCGCTTATAAGCTGTCCTGAATCCACAAGGTCGTATACATCAAATTGTTTCTAGTCTATAAAACACGAATTTCGAGAACAGCAGAAAAGGAATATTAAATTGTTAGAATAAATTTGACAAAATATTGATGTGTGTTACATAGTACAAATGTTTCTAAATCTTTTGTCTTGTTGATTTATCTTTTGCATTGTTGTATTATTGTTTGTATCATGAAGGTGTTTTTCCTTTGGCAGATACATGGACTGTTACAAGAAATTACAATTACTTATGTGCTCTTTATTTTTAAAATAACTCATTTGCATTTCAGCAAGAAAATTATGCGATATATATCTAATTATATTGAAATATTTATTTCTGACATTATGATAAAAATTCATTGAACATTGATCTGTTTTATATATATTATTTATAATAATTATAAATATTGTGATATATAAAAAACAAATGTATACATATAGAAAAAATTTGATCTTTAATAACAAAATAGTTAATTTATAAGCATTTACATTTTTCATAATTTCAATATATTATAATTTTTTTTATGAAATTTAAAAGTAGAGTAACAAAAAATTTAAGAAATATAGTAATAAATAATTATTTTTATCGTGCTCTTTTATCATATGTATTATATTTTTGTCAATCAGGTAAACAGGGAAGATCAGGAAAATGAAGTAGGTGTAAGCAGTGCAGTAGCTGAAGGCTCATCGGCGAGTAGTGGCGATGTAGACGACTCTTTTGACAGCAAAGAGACTGATAAAGAATCTAAGAAGAAGAAAAATCGTTGTGCTATATGTCGCAAAAAAGTTGGTTTGACCGGTAAGTGCAAAATGTAACGTACAACAAATAATTAGTATTGTAAAAAGCTCTGAGTTTTTTTGACCATGATAATTTTCAGGATTTGAGTGCCGTTGTGGAGGACTATTCTGTGCCGTGCATCGGTACAGTGACAAGCATGATTGCAAATTCGATTACAAAGAAATGGGCGCTCAAGAAATTCGGCGCAACAATCCAGTTGTTGTTGGTGAAAAAGTGCAAAAAATTTGAACTATTTAGTGTGTAGTCGTTGGGAAAATGGTTATTATAACTATATAAACAAACAGAATATTAAAAAAAAACACGAAGAAAACGAGATAAATTATCTGGCAGCTGATTCGCACGTCGAGGGGTGAAACGAGCGAGTGTAAGATCGAGAGAAAGTGAGAGTATGAATGTGAGTGAGCGCGCAAGAACGACAGCAAAATTGTTTTGTAGTTGAACCGTCAAGAAAAAGTAGAGAGAAAAATGAAAAAAGAAACGAATATATCAGAACAAATAAACGAAAGATCGCAAATTAGAATGTGCGTGTGTGTATGAGAGTGAATGGTTCATAACTGGATGCCAGTGCCATGTAAGTCAGATTTGTCATCTAGTGAGAGAATTTTAATTGAGAATATACCTGGTTACTAACTGCTGCCAGCTTACTACTATTATTATTACCTATTATTATCTCTTCATTATTACGGTTTATAATTATCCTATATATTATGTTTATTAATTTACTTAAATGGAAAATTTGCAAATATATAAAAGCTCGTTTTACATAAAGGCAGAACTCTTGGTGCGGTCAGCCAGTCCAGGGTGTCTCCTTATAAGTTTTGGTTTGTTCTAGAAAAATTTTATACTGTTTCGTTTATATATCAAAAAATAAATAAATAGGGAATGTTGCTTAGGTAATGGCTGACGGTGGGTGATCACAATCTTAGGTTAATAATTATAGTCTAATAATTATTAAGTATATTAGACTATTGATTCATAAATAATAATGCAATGAAATATAAGTAGTACTGTGTGTTTATGTCCAACTTCACATGAATATAACCAGCAATTATTACTCATTAAATATGTTTCAACCTATATTGCAAATAATTATTTACACTGCGGCCGCAAATCTGGGATTTGTAAATTAAACCCCTCTAACGCAATCTTCGATTTTTCTTAGAATGTAAATGAATTGTTAATAGTTGAAATTGTCGATTAGTTTACTCGTTTTCTTCTTTATTTTTGCTTGTTTTGCGAGTTTTGTAGAATAGCTGCGCGAGGTATTCCGGTGCTGCATAGCAGCGCATAATGTAAGAGTAAATGATTAATAAAATGTCTAATGTGAGGCCGGGCATTATATGAACGACAAAGAAGAAAACTATTAAAAACATTTATAAAGTGTGAACGTATATGAACTAAAACCATGCGCGAAAGATATTACATCGAGATAAAAAAATTTTATAATCCACATACATATTCTCTATTTTTCTTCTCCGCGCTTAAAATTCGTGCCGAACTTCATTTCTTTTTCTCGTTCGTAAAAATAGCTATACATGTTTGTAAAGTTATAGCATGCGTGTGAAAAGAAGTGCTATAGCTGTCCGGTTTTGTTGTATTCTTGTAAAAAGCAAGATGAGTAAGAAGATGATAAAGCAGCGCAAATTATCCATGTGTAAGTCAATTCCTTAAAAGCTTTATAAGCGAGTTTTTGAATTTTTTTTTGAAGAAAAAGGAAAAAATATAAAAAATATATACATATATATTGTGTTTTCCGATTCCGCGTAAAACAAAGTAATGTATATTTTTTTCTTTCTCTTATCCTCGGACAAAGCGCTTATATCAATTGTGCTGCCGTACTTTTATTTCTTATTTTGTAATTAGGACCTGTTCTGTATAAAGTAGTATAATTCTTGTTATTCGCCCAAGATTTATTTTTGCGTCGCTTCGAAAAGTATCTGTATAGCAAAGATTTTTCTTATTTTCGATAAATATAAAGCGTTCTGTTAAACATAATCGTAAGGTCTGTCAAGCGCAGATTTTCTTTCTTCAGAATTGAACGAACAAGTATTTTTCTCGTTACCAAATATTTCACGTGTCACCGTCAAGAGTCCTTCACCCGAAAATGATTTTATTTCTTCGAATATGTTGCATCGTAACTAAATTCGCAAAAAATTGCGGTTAACAACATCTAGGAATTAAGATTGTCTGATGTGGATTTCTCAGTACAATCACAACAATTCGATATAACACGATTCATTGGCGATTCTTACGGAACGACTCTATGACTTCACATAGACAATATGTACATCTTATCATGTATCTTTCAAGATCCATCGTCGATGAATCTGTTTTCTATCTTTTTTGGCGCATTTTTAGGAACGCTGATGAGAAAGATCAGAATCATGTACAGAAAAAATCGCGCGCACACACATGACACATACGCAATACACTGACATATACACACCGATTATCAGTAATATCGGAATGGTTGCCTTCAGGCCTTCATCCTATTTTAGGCATAGCATATTTTTCTAACGTGTATCGCAATATCGGAATAATCTTGCCTAGCGAGAGCGATCGAATGACAGAAAGAAAAAGAAATAGGGAGAGAGTGATTGAAAGAATGTGTATACATGATGGATAGAAATGTTTGTGCGAGAGTGAGGCAGAAGAATGGGTGCACAGGAATATAAATGATTTATAGGAAATGAAAGAGGACAAAAGAAAGAAAAACAGAGAAAAATAAGAAGAATATCAGCGACGATCGTACTTGGCTGACTATATAAAGACGTAACACGATGCTTGTAATTATTACGATTGATATTAGTACGTTTAAGCTATTAAAAAAAAAGTAACATCAACTTTTTAATATATTATATGATTACAATTACCATCCTTTGAAGTGCTTTAGACATTTAGGTTTCACGTACGTAAAACGAAGTTAGTGTACTCCCATATGTTCCTCTCTTTTTTCCTTTCCTCTCACCTTTCCTTCCTTCATCCATCTTCTTCTTCCTCCTCTTGTCTTCTTCTTCCCAGCCCTTTAACGGACCTTTTAACAGTTCTAAAACGTTTATAATTATAGTGGACTATATTTATGTATATTTAAAAACAAAATATATATAAATGCATCACCCTTAACGAAGGCCGGCAATCGTTTTTGTGTGTTCTCGACTACTTTATATAGAACTTTAATCGACACCTCTCTCCGAGTTATATTGTAGCTACTGTACAAAAAAAACATCTCCCAAACGTTTAAACGAGGTGCGACCTTATTTTCTCTGTAATGAAAAATTTTTGCTGCAATAAACGGTTTATCTTTTATCATGCTGGTTACCTCTAATGACATCTCGATTCAAATTTATACTTTTAATTTATCTTCAAGAATTTACATAGTAAATAATACATTACATAAATGTATCTATCTGTACGCGATATATAGTTGCTGATATAACAATCCTCATTTTAACAATTTTTAGTAATACGTGATCAAAAAGTTGCCTTGATTTATTTATAATTATGACAAATATATATATAAAACAAATATCGGGTTAATACAAAAGCCGGCGCAAAAAATTATTTTCAAAACCTTAATTTTAAAAAATCCAAGTATATGGATTTACCTCTCCTCTTTAAAATCATATCTTCAGCAATTGAATAAATAAAATAATATGTTTTATTTAAAAGTAGATGGAATATTATAATCGCTTATTGTAATTATAATCAGTAATAAGATTATAAAAAGTAAAATTAAATAATATGTATTACAATAATAATTATATAATCCATAAAATGATGTCCAAGGTAGCAAAGATGGCATCTAAAAACATTTTAATGACATATTATGATATCATTAAAACGTTATTATGACTTCCTTTGACGTCATTCTGCTATCTGGATATTGAGATAGATGTAAAAATATTCTCTTTCTATTAGAAATCGAAATATTTTATATAGGAAACTTATTGTGTTAGTTAAAAACATGTTTTATAAACATTTTAACATTATATAATTGCTATTTTATTTTGTAGAGTTTGCATTGTGATTGACAACGATATTATGTTTCTATTATGCAAATCTGTATTTCATGACCTTAAAGCTTTATTTGAATGTATTTGTACAGCCGCATAATACATATGCATAGAAAAATATGCAAAAACCGACGTCTAATATACAAGACGCAAAAATATAATATTCATCAACATATGATTGATCATTTTTTATGCATATATTCATTACGCGGTTGTGCAAATATAATCTAGATAAATCTCTGGAACGATTTTGTAAAAAAGCAGATGCTTATATAAATAATCCTCGCGAACGTAAAAGGTAATGATTTACATTTAAAATTAGTGTGATTTTCAGATTTAGAGATCCTAGTATCGTCGTATAAAAAAGATTTAAATATTTTGAGTAATAATCGATTTTTTAATGAGATTCGATTCTTCTCGATGTATTGATTAAACCATGAATGCGTTCCGAATTGTTCCGAATTAGCTTTCGCTATTTTTCTAGTTATAAACTTGGTGAAAACTGGCCGCTTTCAGCGGACTCAACAGTTGGGCAACATTACTAGATTTTCCGATGTAACTCGACGCTGATTGGTCAGACCTAAAAGTAGAGACCAATCATATTCGATTGCTATTTAGCAGTTGAGTCCGCTGAATGCGGCCAATGTAACTAACTTCAACTAACTCATTCCCTCCATTCCCTTCTTCCGGTCAGTACCCAAAAATTGACGAAAACATCCGGTTCGCATCATAACCATAATACTGATCTCTTTCAGCAAGTATTTGTAAGGTAAGAGAAGCGTTCAAGTGCGTCCTAGAAATAAAAGACGAAAATCTAACAAAAATATCTGCTTTTTTCTAAAGAAAAGTATTCTTGGCTAGTCACAATGTCGATCGGAGTTCCCATTAAAGTACTTCACGAAGCGGAAGGCCATATCATAACCTGTGAGACGAATACCGGCGAAGTATACCGCGGGAAATTGATAGAGGCGGAGGATAACATGAATTGTCAGATGCAGAATATCACGGTAACGTATCGGGACGGCCAGGTGGGACAGCTGGAAAATGTATACATTCGTGGCTCGAAAATCAGATTTCTTATATTACCGGACATGCTGAAAAATGCACCCATGTTCAAACGTCCTGGTGGCAAGGGATCAGGCACCGCTGGTAGAGGAAAATCCGCTATATTGCGCGCTCAAGGTTTGTTGTAGTATTGTTCCTGTAAATATATATATTAGTTAGAAAAGAGAAATATATATATATTAGTGAGAAAAGAGTAGTTCTGAAAGGATACAGATATTTATAAAAATGAGAAAGAATTTAGCAAGGTTCAATCCTTTTCTCGGATAGATTCTGAAAAAAGAAATAAAAATAGGATTATATACCTTTAATACATATATTTTTTAAAGCAACGCATAGACTAATGAATAAACTTATAATTATTTTATTGATTAAAGAATATTTCTTCTAAATAAAAAAAAATCAGCTAGTATATTATATATGTGACATTAAATATAAAAATATAGAAGAGATAATATAAAACAATACAAGTGATATTTAAATGCGTTTTAAAAATTCTTTTTTAAAGTAAAATTTACATACATATATATACATGCATGTATATTTTATGTATATTTTAATAAATAAAATGTTTTAGCTCGTGGCAGAGGAAGGGGACAGAATCAAAGAGGCAAAGGTACTGGTTCGGCACCTTGGCTTAATCAACAAAATCAACCAGGAGGATCTCAAACTGGCAGAGGCAGGGGATAAGCTTTATAATTTTAGAATCTAAAATAAAATTGCAATTTCATTTCCATATTTTTATATCATTTCTAAACAATATCTCTGAATATGTTCAAAATTTTACATATGTATATTTCTAATACATATGCAATAACATTAATAAATTGATATTGTATTGAAAGTTTTATTCATTAGAAAGCTTCATATATGATATGTTATGTTATATTCAAAATTATCATAATACTGGTATTATCAATTTTTATATGATTAATACATAGATAAGATTTTACATTTTCTTGAGATTATAATACAAAAAAATTAATTATATTCTGAAAACGCATATAAGCTCTATTACAACAAATTTAGATTGCATTCTATATATATCTTTAATAAGTGAATTTGTCCCGATCTACAATAGATAATTTAAGCCCTAAGCCTTAAGAAATTGACTAATCACAGCGGAGTATTTTCTTCTTATTTGATTGTGAATGGTCAATCTCTTAAGGCTTAAATTATCTATTGTAGACCTGGCTTTTATCTTTGAATAAGAATGAAGTTGCAAGCCTAAAATCCCTAGAAAAGAAACTTTGCTATTGGATATCCGAATGTCGCCATCTTCTATCTAGTAATATGATGTCTCGTGTTTTTCTTCGCACATGTTTTCCAATATAACCTATCTTTCGTAATATAATTTATCGTAAGTTGTGTGTAATAATGTTTCAAAAATTTCAACCACAATTATTCGATGTAAATAAAAAACCCGGCCAGCCAAAGAGACGAAAAAAAATTACGCTGGTTTTTGATGAGGAAAAACGACGGTAATTATCTCTATTAAATATTCATACTTGTCACATAAATAAATTATATATCATATAATTTTAGAGAATTTTTAGGAGGCTTTCGTAAGAGAAAATTAGAACGGAAAAGGAAAGCTCAAGAACAATTACAAAAACAACTGAAAGAAGAACGTAAGAAAATTAAACAAGAGGTAAGTGTAAAATGGTATAAAGCATTGTTTTCTAAAAAAAATTATAGAACAAAAAGCAAAGTATATATGTATTTTCATAGGCACGAGAACGTTACAAAAAATTTGTAGCACATCGGAATGTGCCAGAATTAGAAGAATTATTATCTAAACAAGAATATGATCTGGAAGGTCATACAGTCAGTATTTTGGAGTTAAATGTTACAGACCTTGCAGGAGATAGATGGATAGGTGAAAACAAGATTGCAGAGAAAAAGGAAGAGGAACAAGATGATCAAAGTGAGCATTCTAACAATGACAATAATGAAATTGTGGGAATGTCATTGAAGGAGAAACAGAAAAATCTAACACAACAGAAACCTAAATCTGATGATCAACAAATTAAATCCTCAAAAGAAATAAAACGAGAAATAAAGAAAGCAACACTCAAGCAAATTAAAAAAAGTAAAGCATTTCAACAAAAGCAGAGACTAGAGCAACAAAAAAACAAAAAACAGAGTAGACAAAAATTACATAATGCTCAAAAGGTAATGCATAAACATGGTAAACATATTAAAAAAAAAACAAAACATTAGAATATTTAAAAACTTTGCAGAATGTATAATTCTAAATAAATATATTTTGTAATAAACACTTGAAGACTTTTTTAATATATAAATATGTGAATTTATGATTTTTTCTTCTTTCCACTATTTTTTGAGGCATATGGACAAATATTCTTGTTGAGGCATTCATCACATTTTGGAAATCGAGGTAGACAAATTTCTTGTCCAAATCCTACAAGAAGATAATTTATCTTGCTCCACAGAGATTTAGGAAGCCAATCTTCTAGCTCATTTCTCGTTTCCTCTGGTGTTTTAGTTGGCTTTTTCATCCATTCTAATCTATTACAAATCCTGTGGACGTGTGTGTCTACACCAATACCAGACACTTCTCCCCATGCAATTTGCATACATATATGACCCATTTTAGGCCCTACTCCTGGTAACTCGCACAATTCTTTTATTGTTTTTGGGATGTCACCATCATATTTATCTAGAAGAATAACTGATGTTTTTTTTATGTATTCCACCTTTCTCTGTAAAAAAATATACATTTTTAGCATGAAAGAAGATTTAAGAAAAGTTAAATTCTACAATTAACATTCAATAAACAGATATAGCATGAATACCTTCCAAAATCCAACTGGATATATAAGCTTGCCTAGAACATCATCAGGAGTAGCTGCAATTATATCTGGTTTACAACCATAAGTGTTAAGACGTTGCATAGCAGCATGTGTGACCTGATCCTTTGTTTGACTACTCAACATTAGAGCTATTAATGATTGATATCTGGATACTGATGGACTGGCATTAGGATCTGCACATTTGTGACAGCCCATGTCGTCAACTGGGGCTGTCTTATGCTTCCTCATTTCTTTGACATTTTCCAAAATAGTCTCCCAATTCGGTGGCATCCATCGTTTCTCATCTTTGATATTTTTCGAATCCGTTGATTCCTCAATACTCTCAACTTTCATCTCGCATTCTTCGGTTTTGACAGTTTTTAACGCCGATGATTCTTTGACATTTTGGCTCTGTGTCTCGATAGCTGATGTCGCATCAGTATTTTCAACATTTATTCCATCTTCTGTTGCATCGTACTCGATCTTTATCGGCAAACGTTTCTTCGCACCAGTCTTTATAGTCTTTGATGTTTTCTCATCGGCAAAGTAAGGCGACGTTTTCTCTGATAAGGTTGCGAGGGATTTTCCCGAACGTAAAGATCTCGATGTCGAGATGACATCCAATTTCAATTTCTTACTCATCTTATCGAGACATGTCAATATTATCATTAAACAGAATCAATCTTCTTTCGCGCGGTAAAAGAGACCACAAGAGATGCACGTGACGACGAAGATCAGTTTTTACGCACGTTAAAGATTGCACGCGCACGCGCTAACCACATATGGTCCATCCCCTTCATAACCTGATCTAAAACCTGTCAAGAGCTTAGTAGTAAATGTGCCAAGTAACTTATTCGAATTGGAAGCACTTTCAAAAAAGAAAAAAATAGACAAAACTACGAAATACGTATGTATAAATAATATATGTAACAAATAAGCTCTATTCATTATATCGAATGTGCTCAAAACGCCAGTCGAAAGATATAATTCAAGAGTGAAGCGCGTCTACCTGCTTATTATGCGTGCTTTTAACGCGTACTGTGCGAATATTTAAGGAAAAATTAATCTTCTTCATAGCGTCTCTTGCAAGAATCAAAGTGTTGAATTCAACGTGATTTTTTTGAATTCGTGCGTGATTTTTTTCAGGATTTTTGACATAGCAAGTGGCGATTTTTGCAGCAAGTAACGAGATGTCATATCGGAGTATATTGTTTTATTACACGTGTGATTAAAGCGCATTGAAGTTTCTTTAATCATGAGCGCGCAGAATCAGTTACCAAATCTTGACAAGATCTTCCGAGATGACGACGAGGCTGACTTTGTGCCTTCAGGAGGGTACGTATTATATTATATATGTTCGTATACATGCTATATACACTTTATATAAATTATTGGATATGTTTAAGTTTTTTACAATTTAATTAAATAATTATTTCTGATTCCTGTAGCATTTTGTCTTTTTCTTCTCGTCTCTTTTAAAATCTGAACATAGATTTACTTTAAGTGTAAAAAAATGTGTGCAACTAAAGGAATCAAAATATATTTATTGCTACTAATTATTGTTCTATTTAGTTTAATTCTCAGATTTGTAAATATTTAATAAATGTTTTTTACTATCGTTAATAAAATAATATTAAGTTTCTCTTAATTCATTTTTTATCCATAATAACAATAAATCTCTTTATTGTACTTTCAGATCTAATTTGGCTGCCATTTTTGGACTACAATCAAAACCTGCAGATTCCACTAAACAAACGGCTTTTAAAAAGAATAATACTCGATATAACATACAACAAACTGTGCCATCTTCTAAGACAGAAATCCTAATAGCTAAAGCTGTACATGCTTTTAAATTGTAATTATATCAAATTGCTAAGAATATTGCATTTTCTTTTAATTGATACAGTAATATGTATACACATGATTATAATATTATCTATAATATCCATTTTATGTATTACAATTAATAATAACAATATAATTACATTTCAGACAAAATGGTCAATACACTTCTGTTGGAAAACTTGGTATAGCATTGACAGGCAATGTAACAACAAGGCTATATCAAATAATTTTATACAAAACTAAACAAGAATATGTATCTATTGCTACAGTGACACGTGATTTTTTGTATACTGTACAAGCAAATAATTATGCCAGTTATTACGATAACAACAATGAAAATTGGTCTATTTTATTTGAGAGTAATGAGAGCTATTTAGAGTTTGCAATAGAAATGGGATTAACACGTTATTTTGCAATACAAGAGAAAGGAGAAAATGTAATTTATCAAGATCTGATACCAGCAAATAATAAAGATATAACTGCAAAAGAAGGAGATAATATATGTATTAAATATTTTGTGGGAACTGAGATAGTACAACCTTTTAAGATAAATTTTGTAATGTCACAAATGATGACTGTAGAAATATCAACAGATGACAATTGGGAGAGAGTTCTTCTGGGCAGTGGCAAAGGCCTGAAAAGAGTTTTGTTTTTACCTCCTAGCAAACAGGTAATTCAATAAATTTCTGTGGAATACTATGTGTAACATTATTGTTCATTAAATAGTTTTACATAGATTAGTTTAGGTCCTGGATTCCCCAAAGAGAAAGATATTATGCTGATAATAGAAATAACTGACATAAGAATACCAGAAGAAAATCTGCCTACACTTAAAACTTCAACAAGTGGAAAAGCTTCCATAATATCAAGAATGGCTAAAATGGGTCAACCTATCTTACCAAAAATGACTCTACCTTCCACTACTGATTCTGAAGATACTGAAGTATTTATATTCACATTCCTATTACTCAATTTTTCATTATATTCATATCTATTTTTTAAATAGAACTTATATTATTATTTCTTAATGTGAAAAAGACTATACTTTGCAGGATGATATACCTCAAAGATCTCCTCGTCACAAAAAGGTTTGTCACAATTTACAAATTATTTTTATAAAAACAAAATCTACATTTGGTTGAAATATTGCATATTTTATTAGATTGAGCAATTGGAAGGAACTTTGCAAAAGAAGAATTTGTTGCACGAATCACCGGAAGAAAAGAAAGCCACTCACAAAGTTGTGGAGTCAAGAACTGAAGTGCCTTCTGTACACTCTAGTACTTACAAGCCAATAGTTGCTGCATCTCCAGTAACACCGCAATGGACTCCTCCATATTTCGCTGTATGAGTAATTCTATATTCAATAGATTTAATAATGCATATTAAAAGATAATTAAAATTATCTAGGGACATTATGTAACAATGGACAATCAGATGTATCCTGTACAACAAACTGTAAATCGTACAGTACCAGCCGCTCTAGATCCTGGAATCAACATGTTGTTATCGGAAACAAGGATAACAAATGCGGAAATACGAATGGGGATGTCCAAAATATCTGACAATGTCCAAAAATTACTGGATAAGGTATATAAGATATTGATAATGAGATTATATATAACATATATAGTTATTATATATAACATATTGATTATAACATTGTTACATATACAGTTCCATGCACTTGAGCTTCAAAATGCAATAACTCCTACAACAAGTGATAAAGCAACTCTGGACGCCTCTTGGAAAATGTTTCTAGCTCTTAATGCTTCTCAAGCAGGAGTAAAAGAAAATGAATTATCAAAAAGTACTGATAAAAATATATCAAATGAGAAAATGTTGGAAGCGCAGAACAGAATAAGTGCTTTGGAAAATAATTTAAAAAAATCAGAAGGTATAACAATTATTTGAAATAATAATATTTAAATAATAATAATATTATCATATGTAATTTATATAAATTTAATAATTATTAAATTAAAAAAAACTGCTATTACAGAGGAGAAAGAATCATTGTTGCAAATTAATAAGGATATGAACAAAAAACTTCAAGAATTAGAAACAAAACTAAATAATACAAATGATGAGTTGAAAAAAACCAAAGAAGCCTTAGAAGAAGCTAAAGATACAATTAAACAATGTAAAGAAAAAAATGTTAGTTTAGAAAATAGACTTTCTAATAAAGAACACATTTTCCAAGTTGATTCAACATCTTTCAGACAAAAAGATGTAATACTAATCACACATACTGTAAATTGCATATAATTTTTTATCTATTCATTGATATTATTCTTTTAATTTACAGACTAAGAAAAAAAACAGAGAAATTAAGCAAATAATGAATAAAACATATCATACATTATCAGAAAGATTTGCAGATGATTCATGTTCTGAATTATCCTTTGATTATGTGAAGTCAACTATTGCAAGCACAATAAAGGTATAACAGAAATGTGTAATATTAATATTTTTAAAATATTAACATAATATTTATCATAGTATTCTGTTAATGTATTCTAATTGAAATTTAATGTTTAGCATATCACTTTACAAGTATTGTATGAAGACTCTGATGAAGAAGATATAGAATCTAAGCTAAATAAGAATGTAGATTCCACAATTAAAGCTGTTAGCGAACAACAAACTGATAAACAAATAGAGAGGATATCAAATGTATCTAGTGATAACAATCTCTCGATAAAAAGAACAGAGACTTCAAAACCTACCACAGTAATCAATACTAAAACATTTATATGTACATTTCTATGAAAATGTGAAAGAAGTAATTATTTTTTCTTTTATTTTCAGATCATTCCTGCATTTGAAAATGAACCACCACCTGTTCCACTTGATAGTATTGATGAAGTTGATAGCGATTAACTAACTGGTTGACCTCAAAAAGGTTGACCTTTTAATTTGCAAATATATATATACGTTTAAAATATACGTAGTTTCTAATACATACTTTTATTTTCACAAGTTTCTTTATATTATTAAATTCAAATAAATTGAGTAAAATTTTTATATAAGTTAGGTATATATATTCTGAAACTTAATAAAAGATATTTTTACCATCAATATATCTGCAGTGACATAATTTTCTTTCTGCAATTCTAGTAATAGCGTTAGTGATAATATAAAATAAATATTTAATATTAAATATTAAATATATTAAATACAGGAAGAATAAATAATTTGTATTTTAAATTATGTAGAAATTTTTTAAAAATGAAATAGGTAAAATTACAATAAATTACTTATAAAAATAATTTTTTATATATATCATATACACAAATTTTATGTAAATTTAATGTTAAGTTTATTACTTACAGTTAAGAAATTGATAATGTTTACTATTACTGTTTACTAATGTATGAAAGATCAATTTCTGCTTTAATATGTTTTGCCTCATCCATCAAATTTTTTATATTTTTTGTCCTGTACGAGAAAAAAACAAAATTATTAATATTTATACATATTTCCTTATTAATACTACATACAATATTATTATATATTGAGAGGCAATCGATACATGATAATAATTATTTAAAGTTTCTTGAATCAGTCTGTTTTTGAGTTTATAAAATTAAAAATTTAAAATTATTGCTATATTACTTACATTTGAGAAAGAGTCTCATGTATTGCTTTCTCTTGATTATATGTAAAAACAATTTCTTTCTTTTTTTCATTTGATTCGGAAGCATCTGTATGTTTAATCTGTTGAGATTTTTTTTTAAGTTGATCAAGTCGTATCTGCATGTCGTGTATCTTATCATTCATTTTCTTTAATACTTCCGCCTCTGCTCGCTCGACGGCAGTCATTGATGGTTCCTTGTAATTTACTAATCTTAATGCTTCCTCTGCTCTGAAAATATATAATAATTCGTATGTATTGTACGTAGTGTTAGTATGTATTTTTTACAATAGTTTGATAAGAGATTATGTTTCATTTATTTTAAACATAAAATTAACCATAGTTCTGTAAAACTTTTTTGTTTGACTATATAATTAAACAGTACACTCACCTACGCGCTAATTCTTTTTGGTTATCATTGATATCTTCGTATCGCTCAGCTAAATGTTCAGCAGTGTGACGCAATTCTTTCTTTGTCTCCATTAAAGAATCGAGTTCTTTTAACAAGTGAGTTTTCAAAGCTTTCAATGAGCGAACCTTTTTACTGATTTCTTCCCGAACTTTGTCGTGTTGGACAAAATGTTGAGTGCGAAAGATATTTGTGGCGTGATACAAAAACTGTGTAATTGATAAAAAAAATATATAAGTTAAAACATTTTCGATTATTATTTAATTATAATTTTTTATTTTATAATCCTTTTTTTATTTGTGAGATGTACGAGATAAAAATTTTTCAATATTTTTAATGATTTTTATGGATTAAATTTTTAGCAAATATATTACAATAGATTCGTATAATATTCCGCATGTGTATTTAGAGATTGCTTACCTCTAGGGATTCGCTCAAGGACATTGAGCGAGATCCTATTTTTGTTATAGGTTGTGATACTTCGCGTCTTAGTAATCTTCTGATGTACATGTCGAACGGTTCCTTGTTCACCTTAAAAATCGATAATATATTATCTATTTTGAAAATAGTGTTACCCATCAATTAAATTAAAAAAATTAGTTTAAAAATGAAATTAAAATGATAAAAACAAAGTTAAAAAACTCAAAATAAAAGCACTATTTAGTGTAGTAATAAAATATATTGATAATTACCTTTTTTGTAGTATTGGTGATAGGTTCTAATTGCTCGATCCTTGGAAGATAATAAAGATCTATAACCGAAAGATCGATCACAATGCCTGTATGCAGCAATGCGATTAAAACACAGGGTTCTTGAAGTAGACCAAAACCGAGTATCGGTGTAGCTTCGTCTATGTTTGTATGTTTTGTTCTCGTAGAGAATAGATATTGTAAAGTTGATTGGTTTGATAAAGATAAAAAATAATTCTCGCTGTTATCTAAAAAAAAATTTTTTTATTAGACGAAAGAAATATTAAAACAATATACTAGAAAAGAAAATCCAATTTTTTGATTTTAATTCATTCTTTAATTTTTTTCTCTTAACAAAATTCAAGCTAATTAATTATTATCCAATAAATTTTAAAGAATACATACACACAAGTTATCTTATTAAAAAATTTGTTCAACTTTATGAGATTTTTTCTTTTTTTGTCTTTTTCTTTATTATTTTCCTTTCAGTGTAATATATAAGTGTACTTACCATGTATAAATTCCTCCAGTTGAGAAACCATCGGTAAACTCACCATGTGAATCCCGGCATTATGAGTGCAAAAATATCTAAAATGAGCAGTAATAAGTAATTTATTTAATCATACACATAATAAAATCAACAATTTTTTAATAGAAATGTAATGGAAAATGTTTTGAAAAAGTATTGTTATTTTCGTCACAAATAAATTGACTTCTGATTAATAAAAAAAAGATATATAAATGATAAAAGTTGAATAAAAATTTCAAGTTTAATAAAACATATTGACATATTTTTTAGATAAATACCTCGATTTGTTACTCTTATCACAATGAAGATGAATAGGACAATTATACTTTTTGTCATCATCCGTGAAAAGGAGACCGAGTTCCAGTTCGACACATTCGAAGACGTAAAGTGCATCGTCCGGAGTGTGAAGACTATAGTTTGAACCATATTGCGACCAAGTCTGACAAAAAGATGTACGATGATAAATAAACTTTGTTATAAAATTTATATTTAGAAAAAATATACATACATACATATATGTATGTATGTATGTATATACATACATATGTACATATGTACATATATATATATATATATATATATATATATATATATATATTATGTGTCAATATTTATTAGACGCCATACCTTTCTGTCATCTTTGTCGTTTTCGTCGTCCAATATTTCACGCAATAGTATGGCATGATAAATCTTTCCAGTGCACATGGCGATGACCACTATCGGTGGGGTAGTTTGCAGGCACATGATGGAGCATGAATCTATTCCGTAATTATCGTCGGTCGACGGATACATAGATAGCGAACCTAATACCACTGGATTTTCATAGCTGACACAACAATTAAAGCCACAGTTAAATGAGAAAAAAGTATCAAGTTATTTACTTATGCTTAAATAAGAAAAAAATGCATCACGTTATTTACTTATATTAATTTTACTATTTTAACCCTTTGCAGGGGACATCGTAAGTCTAAGAGATAGCTCCAAGTGCAAAGAGTTAAAATCGTTAATAATCATTTTTTGTTATATAAAATTTGAATAATATATATTATATACATATATATATATATATATATATATATATTTATATATATATATATATATATATTTATATATATATATATATTATATTTAGAATTTTATGTATACTTTTCCAATAAGACATTTCCACGGACGATTAGCACTTCACCGTTTCCACGGAGGACCAGAATCGGCCATTCGATCTGATTCCAATCGACTATATCTTTTATCTAAAAATTATTAAGAATACTTTCTTACACCAACAGCAACGATAATTTAAATCTATCTATATTTCGATAAAATATGTCTATAAAATTTTATATCTATAAAATAATCGAATACAAGTTTTCTTTTTTATCTTTACAAAATTTTAATATTTAACATTCAATTAATCCATATACAAGAACAAAATTACCAATTTCAATAAAAGTAAGCTTGTATCGCTATAATGTACATTTAATTGAAGTAAAATTTGAAGATATTTAAATCCGTCATAGTCTTTAAGTGCATTCTCTGGATATTTTAAGTGCATATTCTGGATATCTATTAATTTGAATCAAATCTAATGATATCAAATTTTTGCTGACAAGTCTTGTATATATCATGAACAAAAGCAGTTATTTTAGAAAGAAGATACACATATTCTTTCGTTAATTTATGGCTCATACCTCGTTGATACTTTTGTCGGCAAACATCTCCGGTTTTCTCAGGGTAGGAGTGGCAAAATCGAAATCTATCGCAGCCTCTCCGAGGGATGCAAAACCCGGAATCTTCGAGGGCGAGCTCGATGGTGCACGACCGACCTTCCAGCATTTTACGAGTCTGGGTGCATTGCCCAGGTCGCACTCGTACAAACTGCGGTAAAGTTAAGTGCAGCTTAAGGTCAATCCGACGACAGTTTTTTTACAGACGCTTCGGCGCGTAAAGCCTTCTAAAGTATAGTTTGTAAATGTTTTTCTTATTCTAAGAAAGCCCCCCTGCCCCCTCGTTCCATCATCTAACGCGAAAAGTTAAGAACGCGAGTTTAAGTTATGTCACGTTGTACTTTCGGAGAGAGTTTCGCAGTTTTCTGTAATTATAACGGCAGCTTTCGCGAGAAAGATATTGCTTTCACGACTAAAAGATGAAATACTTTTGTTTTTAACATTATCGTACAAAAGTGCGCGTATGCTCAATTGACAAGATTGATAATAAGATTAACTTACTCCGTGAGTTTAATATGTAGATTGAAATAAAAATATTTTGAATAATCATAATAAAATCAAAATAATTCTGTTCGAAAGAACAATCGTATATGATTTTTTTTTATTACCGAAAAGAGTTTTCTGATGTCAAAACCAACAGATGTGAGTCATTCGGAGAACCCGGATGCCATCGCGTTCGTTGAATTTCTGCACTTGCTCCAAAGTCTCCAAAATTATGATTTCTGTAATCAAGAAATGACAATGAAATAGCATATCGATTACAACATTTTTTTAATTACGTTATTTTCTTATTTATTATAAAAATTAGCTACTTACTTTTAATTAATATATAATCCATATAAAATATAAATAGGAGTAAAAACTTTACTCTTTTAAACTAAATCAGTGGAAATGTCACTGATCGAAGCGGTGACAATTTCACTGGCAATCAATGAGTATTTCATTGATTTTCAATAAAAATATTTATACTTTGCTTCTTCTTATATTTATATTTCATTATAACAAGATTTTATATAATTGATAATCAGATTTTATTTATTATATGCATGTTACATTTGTTTATCCTTAAAATAGGATAAATTCACAAAAAATGAATAAGATCCTTGGTCGAACAGAACTTCTTAGTAAAACATATTGTTAAGTAAAATATATTGCTAAATTTATATACATGCATAATATTATAAGATGCATTTTTAAAAATATCACTTATTGAAACAATTAAACTACCAAACTAATCCTTTCAATAATTCTGCAATTCACTGCAGTGTTATGCAGCAATAATTGAAATTACTGCTTATCAGCGATAACATATTAGTTCTAATATATCAGTATTTAAGAGAGTATTTAGGAGAGTATATTTTTATGTGTATAACACATAATTATAGGCATATAATGTGCAATATTTATCAGTTATTCTCCTGTAATTAATTTCAAAGATGCTTAAAGAGTAGATGTCGATTTTTTAAAGTTTGTTTTATACGTGATTATAAGGCGAGGGAAAAATATGCATAGAAATGCACGGACGTGAGACATCGATCCAAGCTGGATTCAGGCCTAAGCAAAGAGAGGCGCATTCGACCGTGCGGATGAGCATTAATGGCTTTATAATCTAATGAATTTTTAGGTTAAGCGTCGGGAAGGACGAGCGGAAAATCCAGATAGGTTTTTCCCCGGGATTTATTGCCGAGAAAGAAAAGATGGGGGATACGGTGAGAGAGCGTACATCGCTTATCTCTCGCGTTTGTCGGTGCCTTCCGACCGATGGGTAACAAGCAAATTTATCCGCATCAAGGTAATAATAATTATTTCTTTGAGGAATATTCAGATCTCGAATAGATTCTGTTTCTCTTTTAATTTTCACTCTTAAAGAATCCTTGCAAAAAATATTTTTTCATCCTTGTTGTGCGATTTTTGCGATTTTTATCTTAATATATTATTTTTAAAAATTATTGTTCTATGCTTGTTTTTTATCTTATTTTTTAAAGATGTAATACGTTTGTGTTTTTAAATCTATTGTTCTCAAAATGCTATCATTAGTTTTACGCATTGTTGAGATGAATTAAGTGACTGTATGATCTCTTTCTTCAAAGAATATTATGCTTCGCTTAGTTAGTCCGAATGTGTAGACTTCATAATCGTTTACGCTTTACGTAGACGCTATTACTTAATTCACTCATTTATGAAAAAAAATTACGTAATTCGTCTCGGAATCTTAAGTAAGGGCGGATGGAGAAAGCGGCCGCTGCGGGAGGAACAGCAGTGACTTAAACGCAATAACGAGTAATACGAGAGGGAAGTTCCTAGAGAATAAAATGATACGACATACCGTGTAAGATCTCTACTTTGAAGTCAGGTCCGTGCCGTTCTTTGTACAAATTGCGAGAAAAGCGCAGCGCAAAAAGCGCGTCTACCGCCACCGGGGTTAATACGTTTACGTAGGGAAATTATTTTTAATTTTTCTAGACGTGCCTCGGAGAAGGAAAGAGGGGAGGAAAGGTGAGGTCGGGACACGAGGGTGTGGCAGAATGCGCGGCACTGCCGTGTAAGAATTTCTTAATTAGATTCAAGCAGCTGCACAGCTTCTCGTTCTTTTGTTTCGGCGAAAAATTTCCGGTAAGTCGCGATGACGATACCAGGTCAAGAATTCGTGCTTTATTAGATGTTTCGGCCTTGATTTAAGAACCTTCTGCAAGATTGCTTCAATCTCCTCTTCATTCGCCTCGATCGCGAATATTCTATATTAATATCTCTCGTTTCAAGATAAATTGATTTTCCGATCTATTTTTAGACAATAATCTTTCCTTTTAATTCAAAGTGCAATGTATGACATACATGAATGACACATCTTGAGTTGTATAAGAGTCTAAAAATTGAAATCTCGTTTTTGCTTCAATGCAAATTTGTCGAAAATAAAATTAAAGTGTTAAATATGATTTAATTGATTTCATATATTTTTATATATATTATTTTCATTGCCTACATAAAATGTAAACGATTATGAAATTTATATATTTATATCTAACTAAGCGAAGTATAATATCCTTTGCAGAAAGAGATTACCTCAACAATACGTAAAACTAGTGACAGCACTTTGAAAGCAATAGATTTAAAAATAGAAATATTTCATCTTTTAAAAATAACGTTGTAAAATAATATAGATGAAACGTGCGAAATATTAGAATCTTAGACAGTAACATATTTACTTGATTTAATAATATAAATGACCAGAAATGGATATTTATGCGATACACTCTTTTCAAATCTTTTTTCGGTGGCAGTGTCAACGAATATCGAATACACGCAATGGGGTTTGCGAGCACCCTTAAATGCGTTGGTCCTGTTGCCATTCATTTTATTTAGGAATATTCAACGCCATCGAACGCAGCATCTCCGCGGGCACCGCATCGCGGTAATCAAGACAGCTTAATACCTATCAGAAATACGCGCGCGAAGGGGTAGGCATAAATTCTGATAATTTCAAAATTGTGACAGAACGAAGAAAAATTCTCGGGAGAGGTAGCGGTGAAAAGTGCGAATAAATCGTTGCGTATGCCTTTGTCAACGGAACGGCGGCGAGTCAGGCGGACACAGGAGGGTTGGAGCTCGTTGGGGTGAGAGTCACAACCACCGCCACCGTCACCACCACCACCACCGTCACCATCACCATCACCATCACCGTGTCTGGCCCTTTTTTTTACCCTATCTCTCTCTATCTCCTCTATGTGTCCTGTCCTCCTCCCCTCGTCTCTCTCCCAGCCCTTCCGCGCGCTTCTCTCCTTCTCTCTCTTCGCCGGTGCGTGCGTACATTTTTATCAATTATTAAGAACTCCTGGCGCGCGCTTGTGCTGGTAGCCGTGTCGCCGTTCTGCGAGGGACGTATGTACTAACGGGGTGTATAACCCGGAGAACGTTGTGTGCCGGTGATACCCGATGCCCACTGTCTTTTTCTCTCCGGAACGCCGGACCTTTTGCTCACTTTTTCTGGCATGCCGCGGACATTAATAACGGCCACGGGCTAACCACCGCCGTCAACCCCCTTGCCAACGTTACCGTGTCCACAGCCGCGGAAAGTGCGAGAGTAATAATAAAATATACGAAATGTAGGCGAGAGAGTATCTCGTTGTGCGAGCGAGCGGGCGGGCGGCCGCGCCGAGGCCGAGGCCGACAAAACAAACGTCGCGACGTTACGGTGTACCTTTCATTGTCCGCGAAAAGGTACGCGGATCTCCTCGCGTTATAATAATTTAGAGCGACGCTGTGCGAGCCGCGCTGCGGGCCCTGATTTTAGCTTAATAGAACGCCGCCCGGCAGATTCGGCCGGGGTTTGCTGCGTTGGCGTGTTTCTCGCGAGATTGTCATTATTCTCGCGGAGACCGGACAATTTCAACCTACCGTGGACGCGCCAAATTATCACGATTTGTGTCGGAGACTCGCAATATAAACATGTAATTCTTAGAGGATTCGTGTATTATGTACGCAAATAATGTTCGATAACTGCTTGTTTAATTTTACGAAGTTATATATATTTTACAATTAAATATTTCCTTCGTGACGAATAAAATCTTCTATTCACTTGAAGATAAAAAACGAGGTAGCTATGTGAATGGTTCTGCCAGGAAATGAATGTTGAGAATTAAACAAATGTATATCTATCTTTTTACCCTACTTATATCCTGCAGGCAGAGTTTGTTGGCTGTCACATCGGTGACTTTTACATCGACGTGCATTCTTTATACGGTGATTATGTATTTCGAACCCTCGCAGGGACAACGTTCAGCTTAATTCTGCCCGGCATGCCCGTAACGGGCGTAATATCGTTCAGTTACTTGGAATATTTTTATTACATCCTCGCGGAAGCGCGGCTGGGGCATGAGGAAAGGGGCGGCTAAGACTAAGGAGGTTGGTCGGTAGAGTTGGCGGGCTTCCGGGATCTACCGGGCTATGCTCACGATATAACGAGAGCCATTATGATAAGCGGATGCATAGATTAGACATTACTCGTTAACCCGCCTGTGCGCGACGCTCGAAGCTCGAAAGACATCGCTTCCAGCTATCAAAAGAGCCCGACGATCGCGATGGTCCTCATCATAGTCTACGTTACAAATTTGATTACTTAATGTATAAATATGTAATCAAACAGTAGTGTAATAATTTAATATGTCAGGTTTTAATTTAATTCTGGGAAATTAGATATAAAATTTATAATATTTTTCAGCCTGTCATATATAACGTATTATTTTAATTTTAATTTTGATAATAGTATACGATAGATGTAGGTCCTTTATCAGGGTGTTTTATCGTCAGCGCGAACGGAATTAATCGATCGACCCGCTATCTCGGTTTCTGTTGATCACACCTTATTTCGCTCATCAGTACTTGTTACAACAACAAACTGCCACATTACACAACGGAAGTTCTCCCATCCTGAAAGGGGAGGGAAGACGCTCCCTCTCGCTCGTCCGAGGGCGCGGGGGCGGCCCATAAAATCGGGATGTTGCGCAAAATATAACGACCGACGTTCTCCTGGCGCTGGCTGACGCTCCCATCGTAATTCATTCCCGACTCTCGCTTGCCTTCGCCTTCCCGACGACACCTGCGTCGGCAACTAAGCCCGTTAATTCTCGACGCCGCGGCGCGACGCGGCCCGTCTCTCCATCGCCCTGCCATCGACTCTCGCCGGGAAACCCGGCTTCCCGGTTGCGCCATCCTGACACGTTCCGGT